CGATGAATGATCCGCCCTCGTGAATCCTCGGAAAGCAAAAACGGTTTCTTGTTACTATTGAACCACTCATAATAACCATATGCAATAGTCAAATAGTCAACATAAATGGGTTCTCTATGGGAATGTGCCGATGTCGATCTTCTCATATAATGACCCACTCATAATGCTTCACCAGCCAATCTGTATCCATCTTGCCGCGTCGATCTGTGTTATGCTACTGGTCTATATTGCGAGGTGCTTCTAGAATTGGTTGTACAAAACCAAATTGCTGGAGCACGTGATCAGTAGGGTGCCACTTGAAAATTGCATAACAGATCAGAGAGACCACCACCATCCAAACATCTAATGGCCCCTCAACTCAGGTGGGATGCACATCCTCATATCATCATTACAATAAGGAGCCCATTCAAACTAAAACAAATATATGTAATTTTTATCAAAATAATAATCTAATTATATAACTATAATACAAAATAGAATTTTAAACATTAAAATACATACCTCTGTGCCAGCCTTCTGATCGATAAGTAGACTGATTATTTCTAATTCATCAGGTAGATCCCGATGATTTTTCCCGTCAATAGACCACTATTCAAGGAAATAATTTTTATTATACACTGGATAAAATGATTAATATACGAAATCAATTTTGAAATTACCTCAATAGTAGCAGGAATACGAACGGGTTCTTCACAACAGGACATAAAAAGGGCAAGCGATACCATGCCCAAGACTGCAACAGAATGAGACATCCGCCGATAGCATTTTTTCTGTAGTCATTCGCTCGACACATCTCCCTATACAGGAAAGCCAAAACTACATAACCCCAACTCAATGATCCAACCAGATGAAAATCGCCAAGATATCGCAACCACATACAGTGAACTTGGTTGCGTGATTTGTCCGGAATCAGCAACCCTCCTATCAGCTGCAGTATGAATGCCCTTGCATACTTTTTAACTTCATCCTCTTAGGCATCCTCACTCAAATTCCAGTTACCGTGTGCCATCCCTGAAATCACATCTCCATCCACTGGAAGCCCCAAGTGCTTGAAAACATCATCAAGCGTAATCGTGCACTCTCCGCACGGAAGATGGAGTTTGTGAGTCTCTGACCTCCACCGCTCCACTAATGCAGAAATCAGGTTTGGTTCTATCTACAATGGCCTTCATATCTAGCTATGTGACTGAATCTAGCCTCGACTAAATACGGCCAGACACGAGTTGGTAACACTAACTTAAGGTTACAAATAAAAGGATCTAATATACGATCGCTCTCCTAAAAATATTAATAATTACAAAAATTAATTTATAAACTAATAATCACGCATTAAATAAATAAATTATTACAAATAATTTAAATTAAATTAAAATGTAAAAATGTTATCGTATCAGCATAATGACTAGATATATGATTTTCATCCAAACGAAACAGACCGCCTCCCATTCTATAACTGAAAAAAAATTAAAGAGCTATCAGAGAATTTGAGTATTTGAGAGAAGTTGAGAGAATTTGGTGTGATGAAAATGATTGAGAATTCAGGTATTTATAGGGAGGGATGGGGGTGTGAACGGGGGGGGGCAGGGTTTAAGGCGAAGGCACAGCCCATGCACCGCACCATAATGACGTGTGTCAAACTGTCAGGAAGGCGCGACCATGCACTGTGCTATACCCCTACGTGGCAGGATGTGTGGCCCATGCACTGCGCCTTACCCAACGTGTCGCCATGTCAGCATAAGGCGCGGTGCATGGGTCGCGCCTTACCCCATGTGATGCCACATCAGCGTAAGGCATGGTGCATGAGTCGCGCCTTTCTGAAAATGGTATTAGATTGAAAAATAAAGATAAAAAGGTGTCTGACAGGGAAATAAAGAGGAAAAGGGTGATTTTTGAGGAAATTCACCGTGTTAGGCACCAAGATTTTAAAGCTCGACTCTCAAAAAAACTATTCTCCTTGTTCTTCAGATGACTGATCCTTCTCTTTCTCGGTCGGAATCTGATGCCACTAAGAAAGTTAAATTCAAGGGTCTAGATTCAAATCCTTCCCAGGTTTCCCAAATGGCCATTGATGAATAGAAGAATCCTCAACCTTTTTATGCGGTATTTCTGTCTGGCCTCGTTAATGGATGTCCCTCCAATTCGGAGGTAGAGCAGCACCGGTCTAAGTCCTTTGACCTTGAAGATGATGATATTATCACAGGAACTCGGTTTAGCCTGCCTTCAATCCAGTTTTCGGATCGGGCATATAAGCTGATGGAAGCAAGCATGGTCAGAACAATGATTCTTAAACATCTTGGATGTACCATCGGCCTTATCACCTTACCCAACAGAAGTTACGCCTTATAACAGCCAATCAAACCTTTTACCCTTATAGATCTCGAGAATGGGTATTTTCTTGCTCGATTCCAAACGTAGGTCGACTATATGAAGGTCCTTGTGGAAGGACCGTGGATTATATATGGACAGTACTTGACAGTAGGTTCAAATTGCGGTCGCAATTGCGTTTTCGATCATTTCTGATTTACCGCGATTGTGGCTATAGCAGGTGCTATTGCGTCGTAGCGGACGTTATTGCGGGTGTAGCGAGTATATCGGAAGGCAAGGCTACTGTGAAATCACGAGCGCTATCACCGTCGCGGACCGCGATTTGAAACCCTGCTTAACGGTTCAACCGTGGTCCTTCGATTTTAGTACGTAGCAACCGTATCCAACCATGGTGATAGCTTGGATTCGTTTCCCCGGTCTTCCGGAGTACATGTACCAGGAGAAAATCTTGTTAGTATTGGTTCTCTGATTGGCAAAGTTGCAAAACTCAACTTCCGTAAGGGGACAAGTCATAGGAGGCGCTATGCGCTGGTGGCTGTCTATGTGGATCTGAACTCGTCGTTTATCTTCCGGGTGGTTATAGGTAACCGTTTTCAGAATGTTGAATATGAAAGTCTGCCTACTATTTTCTTTACTTGTGGTAGGTTTGGCCATCTCCAAGAAGGGTGCAACCACAATCTATGTTGCACGGGACGGCAGAGGAAGGGCGTTTCAAGTACCCGAAACGTCCCTGGCACGGGGACGGTACGGGGACGGCCGGGGTACGTACCGGGGACGTGCCACGGTGGCTGGGTACGGGAGAATGATACGGGGACGTTTCAGAGCTTGCTGGGGACGTTTCGAGGACGACATGTGACTAGCACATGCGTCCCCAGGGGCAATTCTCCTCCTCTCCTCCTCCTTTCGGGTACGGAAATGGCGTTGTTAATGGCGAGGACGGTGATCGTCGTACGGCGGTTGATCTCTTGAGCCAAGTGCGTGAGAGTGAGGTAGTGGTTGAATGTTGACAAAGATGAGTGCTTTGCGAGTAAACGTGTGATGTTATGGCCATTTGATGTTTGGAAGACGATAAACAGTGAGAAAATGAGAAAAAGTTGTTGTCTTTGTTGAATTGTGTTGTTTTGTTTTTCCTTCTCTCAATGGTTTGAAGAACTAACGAAAAGTGAGTTTTTGTAAGGGGGGAAGGTGAGAAGTTTGAGGGGAAGAAGGGCTTGGAATATAATTAAATTACAGAGTGAGCCACTCTGCCACTGGTTTTTGGCTGGATGAGTGAGAGGAAGAGGCCAGGGTTTTAGAGATGGCTTTGTGGTTGTCGGTGCTCAATATAAGCTTAACCACAAAAATGATTGTGGGTTTGGGTTTTGATTAAATTACTATGAACCACTAAACTATAACTTTGATTTTGGAATAATTACACCAAAAGTCTACAAACTATGGACAAGATCACTAAACTATAACTTTATTTATATTTTTTTACATCTATTTATAATTTTAAAATTATTTTATATGCCGTACCCTTGCCGTCCCCGTACCCTGTAATTTTAGAAATTACCGTTTTCTGTCCCCGTCCCCGTATCCGTCCCCGTATCCGTATCAGTGCAACATAGACCACAATTACAGGAACCATCGGAGACGGCTCCAGGGTCGGCAAAACAAGAACCTCCCAAGAGACCCATTGTACCTGCTGCTGTGGCTGTTAGTCCTAGTGATCCACCTGAGGAGGCTCCCTATGGCCCTTGGATTGTGGTTGAGAGAAGGCATCGCCGGCCACAAGCAAAGGGGAAAAAAAGGAAATAAGCGTTGACCCCAAAGTTATCGGCTCAAGATACACTACCTTACATGGCAACCATAGAAGTTCAGGAAAGGAGACCATTTCCTCGAAAACAACTCATGGAGCTGTTAGGATTCGCAAATTGGTAAGGAAATCTCCAAAACCAAGGATTCTCCTATTGTTTCCTCAAATGCGGTTATCGTTGGAAGCAAGGCTGCTCAGCACGTGGCCTATGCCAAGTCTAGCATTGCTAATCAGGTCCCATCTGTACCTATTAGAAGCCACCCACGATATGCATGGGGATGGTAATTCCATGCAACGTAGCATGGAGGGAGCCATAAGGAGCAGGCGGTGCCTTTCGATAACCATATCAACCCGTCCCCAGGTGTTATCAATGCTTCGAATCTGCTAATCCAAGTTACGGTAAGTCTGAACGGTAATAATTTTTCCTCTAATAATAATCCTATTTTTGATAATTCAACAGGTTTACTGGCCCAGCCGTGCGATTGTTCCCTGGATCCTCAGAGACAACAAGCCATTTCGTTCCATTGTACCGATCATACTCTATCTCTTGCAAGCACTCCAGCCCCGACTAAGACTAAGGAGAGAGCAGCTCGTTATGTTATTCGTAATAGAGGTCTGAAGGGGATATTCAAATCCTCTGGTAAATCTCGTTTGAAGGATAAAATGCAAAAGTTGGTTCATGGCATTCAAGAGCAAGCCGAGTCTTGTCCATGTGGTCCAGGTAACGACTCGGTGGGTAAGGAGTCTGCTCAATAGAGTCCTCTCTCTTGCCTTTATTTTGTTCATGGTTTTTTTTTTATTTACGTGGAATTGTCACGGTTGTGGCGGGGTTAAATTCTTGAAAGTCTTTAAAGAATATATGCAGGATTATAGACTGAATATGGTTGCTATTCTGGAGCCTCGTATTAGTGGCGATAAAGCGGATCGGGTCATCTCTAAGATTGGGTTCTCTAATTCTTATCGTGTAGAAACTAGGGGTTTTTCGGGAGGTATCTGGCTTCTTTGGGATGATTCGTTATCGGTTGATATTGTTGCAACGCACCCCCAGTTTATTCATGCTTTGGTGAATGGTGGTTTTTTTCGAAATTCCTTTTTTGTTACTGCCGTTTATGGAAGTCCTCATAGAACGAATCATATGTCGCTTTGGACCGACCCGAGAAACTACCCGATGCCTGTTGGTATCCCCTGGATTATGGTCTAGGATTTTATTGCTCTGTTATCTAGTGCCGATAAGTCTAGTGGTGCTAGGCGAGGGAAAGGGTGTCCTCAATAGTCAATCCCAAGGTTTTATTAATCAACATAATCTCCTAGACCTTGGTTTCAAAGGGCCACATTTCACTTGGTATCGTGGGGGAGTTTCGGAGCGGCTCGACCGTATGTTAGCTAATGATGCTTGTAATAGGAGCTTTCCGAGCTCTACTGTTCACCATGTCCTTAGGATCAAGTCGGATCAAGGCCTATTTTACTTTTCACTCAAGACAGGCACTTATGTAGCTCGTCTCGCACCCTTTCCGTTTCATTGTTGGGTGGATAAAGCATGAAAACTCTGATTCCTTTATTTGGGATGCTTGATCTTTCGAGGGGGACATCAACGCTTCCATCAGTAGGCTGACAGATTCTCTCAAAATTTGGAACTGCAAGGTTTATGGGCATGTCATTCAGAAGAAAAGAAACCTTAAACTGCAGCTCGACAATATTCAAGCTAATATTGATAGGTATGGTTCTCATCATCTCTTTGACAAAGATCCGGAGATACGTACTGCTCTTGAGAAAACTTTAAAACATGAGGAGCTCTTATGGAAGCAGAAATCTGGGAGTACGTGGTTAGTTGAAGGGGAACGTAATACTAAATACTTTCACAGTAAAACCCTTAATCAGCGTAAAGGTAACCGTATTTAAACTCTAAGGATTGATAATGGGGATTGGTGTTATGAGGATGATATCCTTAGGTTTGAAGCTTTATCCTTGTTTAAAAGACTATCAGGAGGAGCCTCGTAGCGATGAGCGTTTTCTCATCTTGGAGCTTTTCCCCAGCTTTCTTCGGATGACATGAATTTCCTGAACGCTGAGGTTACCACGGAAGAAATTAAGAATGCTCTTTTTGAAATGAATCCCTTCAAATCCCCGGGTGGATGGGCTTATTGCCTGTTCTTTCAGAATCAGTGGATTAATATTGGGTCCTTGATCTGTGGTTAGGTCAAGGGCGTATTCAACGGTAATAGTCTGGGATTGGAGATCAACAAAACTATGAGTGTTCTGATTTCCAAGGGGAGCATCTTTTGATTTCGAAGGGGAGCATCCGGAGATGTTCGCGGAATTTCAACTGATTAGTCTGTGTACTGTGTATAGTGCTTTATAAACTCATCACGAAGATCATAGCTAACATATTCAAGAATGTCTTCCCCAAGATCATTAGTCAAAGTCAAGCTAGCTTTATTATGCGGCGTAATACTACGAATAAAATTTTTCTAGCTCAAGAAGTTCTTCACTCTATGAGATAAAAAAACCCAGGTAAAATCCAGTGGATGGCAGTTAAGGTCGACATTGAAAAGGCCTATGATCACTTGTGCTAGAACTTCCTCTCTGAGACCCTTGTTGATTTGGGCTGCCCCGTGTATCTTAGAAGGGTCATTATGGATGTTGTTTCTTCTTCCTCCATTCAGATTCTTTGGAATGGGGCTCTTTCCGAAAGCTTCAAGACCTTCCGTGGGATTAGTCAAGGATGTCTTCTCTCTCCTTACCCCTTTGTCCTTTGCATGTCACGTCTTAGCCAGAGTATCTATCAAGCTATCAGTAATGGTCGGTAAAAGCCAATGGTTCTCTTCAGAGGTGGTCCTCCTTTATCCCACATTTTCTTTGCTGATGATTTAATCCTCCTGTGTGAAGCAGATTCGGGACAAGCCAGGTTGATTAGGTCTATTCTTGATCAGTTTAGCAGGAACTCTGGTTACAGGGTTAGCCCCAATAAAACCAAGTCATTCTTCTCGGCTAATGTGCCTAAGGTCATAGCTACGTCTCTTTGTAACATGATGGGGTTTAGTCACAATATGGACCTCAGGAAGTACCTGGTTATGCTGCTTTTTCACAGGAGTTACGTTTCAGTTCATTGTTGATAAGGTGAATAAGAAGCTTAATGGGTGGACGACATCTAAGTTATCTTTAGCCGGTAGAATTACCTTGGCCAAAGCTACATTATTGGCTATCTCGAATTACTTTATGCAGACGGTGCTTATTCCGAGGAGTATCTGTGATAAGATTGAGCAGATTGCCCGTCGCTTCATTTGGGGTGGGTCGAATAGCTGCCCCAAGATGGCTTTGTTTAATTGGGATAATTATTGCCAACTTAGTGAGGGGGGGGGCCGGGGGGGGGGGGTTGGTCATTCGTAAGCTGAGGGTTCAAAATGATTCTTTCTTAGTCAAACTGGGGTTTAATCTTCTTCTGAGACGCGATGCGCTTTGGGTCCAGGTTCTCCACGCTAAGTACAATGTTAAAAAACAAGTTCCAGATCGTATCACTAACACGAGATGTTCGTTTGTTTGGCGATTCTTAAGCCATGTGTAGAGCTTTATCCGAGAGAATGTCTGCTGGTCCCTTGAGAATGGTAGGACTGCTCAGTTTTGGTTAGACTCATGGGTCCCTGGGTCAACGCCTTTGATTGAAGACCTACCGTCTCACCTCTCCGTTGATACTTAAGCTAAGGTAAGTGATTTTATCACTAACAATGTGTGAGCACCATTTTTTTTAGTCAAACATATGCTAGTGCCCATGCTAGTGCCTATACATCTCACATGAAGCCACATGCACCCCATATGCCATTTCCAGCTCCCCAGCAGAAGACCCACGCCTGAAGCACACCCAACAGCAACTCGTGCCTCCCAAGGAAGCCCATAACTTGTCGGCCAGCACGCTCAGTTCCCCATCACACACGCCCGACAGCACTCTGACCGAGCAGCTCGGTTCCCCATCCACAACACCCAAACATCTGCCCATACGCTGCACCAAAAAAGATACCGAATTCTATTAGCAAAGGAGAGAGCACTATATTACTAGGGAATTTTCGTGGTAAAAAAGGGGGGAACGATGGGACAAGGAACAACAAGGAGCATTCAAGAAAAATTCACCAACAGTGGGGGAAATAGAGAGAGAGAAGCAAAGAAAACGAAAGAGGAAAAAATACAGCGTGAAAAATAGAGGGGACTCTTCCCCGATAGAGGTTCCCATTCGAAATAGAGAGAAAAAACAGTACAGAATTTTATCCTATTTTTCTTTTCCCTTGAAAATCATTTGTAACAGAGCATTTCCTATTTCTTTCGTTCGAACTAAAAATCAATACAAAGACGGATTTTCGGAGAAATCAAACAAAAAAAAAAACTAGAAGCTTTTACAGTCATCAAATTTTATTAAGGTATTCGAATGTTTTTCTTTCGTTTAATGATCTTTCTATGCTATTTCTAGAAAAACAAAAGTAAAATAAAATAACGATTTAGGAGGGAGTTTACCTTGCCCGGTCGGTTGAGTTTCGTCGCCGGGGTGTCTTCGTTGTGAAAGGAGAGCGTCGGAGACCCTTTTTGCCGTTTTGGGTCGTGGTCTTAGTCTCGGTTTAGGGTGGTCTAGGGCCGAATTTGGCGAGATGTGAGTGCGTGTGACTAACACCAGCGTAGGATGGCCACCACCGGCGTGTGGTGGCTGAGCTTTGTCTTGGTTTCAGCGGGCAAAGCCGTTTGGAGTGAGGAAGAAAAGGGAGAAGGAGTTATGTGAGCCATCGTGCGAAATGATTCTGGAAAAGGGGGAGTGTTGATATATTACAATTTTTGGGTAAATCACGCTAAGATCCCTATATCTTTATCGTGTTTTGCATTCTGGTCATCAGTGTTAGGTTAAATCACTCTTTTGGTCCTTTCTGTTTAAGGTGATTCGCATTTTAGTAATTTTTAGGGTTAATCGTGTATTAGGTTCCTTAAAGTTTAGCATCTTTTGCGTTTTGGTCCCCATTTCTGTTTATTCTCAAGGATTTGCGAATTGAAAGCATGATTTTACATTATTTTAATTTAGTCCTTTGTTGAATGTTTTTTTCTTTCGAGATTTGACTACTGATATTTATGTTTTTCCGTTTTAGTCCTGTATATATGGTTTTATTATAATTCTGGTGCTTTTATTTTGTTGTTTCACGCTATGATATTTGTTTATTAATGTTTAGGATACTAAGGCTATTTTGCATTTATTTTTTTCATCATGTAATGAATATATTCATATGTATATTGTTTATTTCTACTATTAAAGTATGTTTTTATTTTTTAGATATTTATTTTGCTTGTATTATTAAATATTATAATATTATATAAAAAATTATTTTAATATTAATTTTTTAGGAAAATTTATTATTATATATTTTTTATTTCAGCTGTAAAGAGAAATATTTGTCCTAAAGTATTTTAGGGAGTATTTTCTCTTAAATTGGAAATATGAGAATATTTTCTATTTTTCCTTAGAATTTTTATTCTATAATATTGTATGGTTGAATTCAGAATAATGGAATCATGATTTAAATATGTATTCGAATTCTTAGATTTCTACTAATTCGAGACAATATATAATCGATAGGTACTAATTTTGGGCGTTGTGGGAGTGTTTATCCTTTCTCACACGTAATCGACCCCGGAATCTTTTTTTTATTATTAAAAATAAATTTCTGGTTACACGTGGATCGGTAAATCTTTTAAATGATGTTTTCTTAAAAACTATTTTAAAAGAACATTTTTTAGTGTTCGACCTACCTATCTAAGGTCGACGGCGACTCCGAAACGTTTTTTTTACAAAATCGTTTTCACCAAATAAGTCGAGATTCGTCGTATCGTTGGAAATCGATTACGACACAATGGTTGTTTGAATTTCGCTCTGTTCGAACAGGTCTTGGGTGAGAATGTTGTCCAGAAGGTTGCGACCATTCTGCCCCTTGCAACTCGGCTGATAAGGACAAACCCACTTGGCGATGGGACAGCACGGTCAACTCGGCTTCCTTTAAGCTGGGAGAGCACTCGTGGGATGAGCGCGGGACTAAATGTAATTTAGCGTGGCACTTTGACAGCCCTCAACTGATTAGACAATTTCTTTGGCTAATTCTTCACCGGAGGTTGTTGACTAATCTTGAGAGGTATTGTCGAGGGTTCTCCCAGCACAGTTGGTGCCCAGTGTGCGCATCGGGGGAGGAATCAATCATTCATGTGCTTAGGGATTGTAATTCTGCTAAAACGGTTTGGTGTTCTCTTCTCCCTGAGTCTATATATTCAGAGTTCTTTTCTCTTCCCCTTGACTTGTGGATTGCTTCCAACCTTAAACCGCATTCTTTTCTTGTTAACCCCTCTTTTCTTTGAAGGCATATGTTTGGAATTATTGCTTGGAGGATTTGGAAGATTTGTAATGACTTTGTGTTTCAGGGTAGGATTTGGTCCATCTCAGACATCATTCGGTCTGCAATCGCTTGGGCAACGATGCTGAGAAAACAAAAGATGAAGGCGAGCTGTAGACCTATTCTTAGTGGAAGTCAGCAGTGGAGGCCTCCGCCTGTGGGAGGCATCAAGCTCAGATCGATTGGCGCAGTTTGCCGTGCTAACTCTCTGGCTGCGTGGGGTGGTGTTTTTCGAGATAGCGTAGGCGTTTGGGTAGCAGGGTTCGTGAGGAAGATAGAATAGTGTGACGCTCTTCACGATGAACTCAGGGTGTTAAGGTGGAAATCGACAATAAAGAAGTTGTACGCATTCTGTCGTCCCCAATGACGTGACCCTTGTTCGACGAATCCGAGGGATAGAAATGTGGTCGCTGACTCATTGGCGAAGTTTGACTTGTCTTCTGCGCTGGGAATGGAGGTTCTGTGCACTCCGGCGGTTATCCAAAGCCTTATTGATAAAGATATGGTGGTTTTGTTACCCAAAAAAAAAGAATTGAAGGTAATTTGTGTACATAGTCATACTAAGTGAATGTGATGTTATATTAGACATAAAAAATATTAAATTAACTTAATATAAATATGTATATAATAACAAATTCAAATATAT